TGAGGGCAATGAATGTACAAATGTGCTTTACACAATTGATGTATGTATGGATTGTGATAAGAGTTGTATGAGCCCCTAATGAAACGATTGAAAAAAAAAAGAATTAGTAGCTTCCCATTTGGATATATTTTTGTTTAGTAAAGATTTCTATGGTGTTTTAGCAATACTTTCGTATTTACCTTCATTTGACTGAATTGGCTTGTTTTTTCAGAGCTTCTGATAAGCTGAAATAGAAAGGAAGCAAAACAGAAATAAAGGCAATCTGCGCACACACACACACACACACACACACACACCCCTACCTCATCTCAGGTTAATCTGGACTCTGCTTTGTCTCCTTTCTAATTAGGTAGCCCTGATTAAGTTAAATTTGTTAGTATTTAGTGTAAGGTATAAGTTGTCCTGCTAACTCAGATGTCAATTTTGAATACTATGGTGACTTGAAGGGGTAGAAGGAGCCAGAACGTATTAATGGAGTGTGAATTTCTGAATTAACTTATATGGTAGGGCTAAGCTCTGAAATACACACAATAGCCTAATGAAGGCAGTTTGGAAATAGGTAAATTCCAGTGAGCTCTGGTGTCATAGTGGTTTAAGCATTAGGTGTTAACCACAGGGTCAGTAGTGCTGAGAAAAAAGGATGAGGCTTTCTCCTCCTGTAAAGAGTTACAGCCTCAGAAACCCAAAGGGGCAGTTCTGCTCTGCCCTATAGGTCACTATGAATTAGAATATGGCAGTGAATTTTTTAGAATTGAATTAACACTAAGTTACAAAGCAAACTTAATGACTGATACTATATATTTGAAATGTACAGGTTGGACAACATTTGGACTTGGAATGAAACAATAAGAGGTTACTACATTCATGGATAACCAACAAGATAAGGCTGTTGTTGCCTCAGTCGATGGAGAAAACACTCTGATTAATGGGGTTGAAGAAAATGGTAAGGGAATTTAATTATAATATGCGAGATCTCTTCCAGTAGTCCTTTGTTAGTACTATGGATTTTATCATCCGTAAAGTTGAGGCAAGATGATCCCAGGATGCCTTTGAGATTGATGTTTAATTGTAAATTTTATTCCACCAAAATCCCTAATTGAGTGAAAAGGGCCTCTAAGAAGTTAACTACTAATTCGGCCCCTTTGTCTTCCTAAGTCCCTCGAAATTCCTAGTGAGTTACTAAGGTGCTCTGACATGAGCCTTGAAATTTAATGGAGGGGTGAAAAAAGGGTTTCCCCCACATAGATCTGAAGAATGGTACTGCGCGTTTTAGCTCAAAACCATGACTGTCCCATCTGAGCATTTTCCTATTCTGAAAGCCATGAAGTTCTAATTAATTTATTCTTTCCTAATTTCTGAGGAGGGCTTTGTTTTTCTCTGAGGAAGAAGTTGAGCCTAAATAATGATTATTATTCACCATGTGAATGTTCAAAATAAAATCAGAATTGTTCTTTAATTCCGTGGTTTCTATTTTGAAAGCTAAAGAAGCCGAGGCTTAGTTTTCTGTTGTTGTTGTTGTTTTTAAAATCATGTTATTTGGGGTGGGGGGGGGTTGTCTTAAAGCTCTCATAAAAATCCACACATTAGTTGTATCAAGTTTATGTAATAAGATCAAGAGCCAGAAACTGGTTGAGGGAAAGAGGATGAGATTAATATGTCTGGTCTAAGACATTTAACTTGATTCCTGTCATTTGTTTTTCTTCTCTCTAGACTCAGATGACCAGAATGTGGCCATGAAGTCATTTGCAGCCCTAGAAGCTGCTGCTCCAATCCAGCCGATACCAATGGTACAAAAAGAGACTCTGATGTACCCCAGGAATCTCCTGCCTCTGCCTTCTAAGAAGCCCTGTATACAGAGCCCCCCTTCTCCTTTGGACCTGATTGAACCACCTGAGCATGCTGCTGATAGTGCTTCTGTGAATGCCATCTCCCTCACATCTGGTGTTGCAAAGGGTCTAAACACATGGTCATTGCCCAATGAGTGTGAGAAAGCACCATTTGCCATAATGGAGCCTGCAAGCATGTCAGCTCTGAATGGGGACTGCCTCATGCAACCAAGCCGGACTTGCTTGGGCTGCTTCATGGAATCCAAGGATGCAGTAGATCCTGAGCCAGGGATCAGTCTGAAAGTTGGTGATCTAAGTAGGGATTATGAAACATGTGCAGTGTCTGACATAGGGATTCAATGTATTAATGCGGGAGAAAACATAAAATATGGAGATCAGCTGCTCTCGGACCAGCTTCTAGGCTTCCCCCTCCACAAGTCAAAGGCAGGAGATAAACGAGAAGCTGAGAAACCTGACATTGACTTGGAGGATCCTGCTCAGAAAAATTATTATGAAGCATTACTGTTGGATAAGTGCAATACAGAAGAGGCTCTGCTTGCAAATTCCAATCAGGATTGGGGTTACTTTGAGACCTTCATTAGTGAGAGTAAGATTGAACTGCTAGACCTCTGTTCCAAGAATGAGCTGTCTGTCAACTTGTTTTCCGAAGAAGATGTAGATAACTACATGTTTGATGATGATGAGTCAACACTGGGGAGTGATGTCTGCTCCCTGAAAATTCGATATGAGTCCTTCCAGGACAATGTTCGAGATAAGACTACTCTTCTGATGCAGGAAGATGCCCAATTCAACTTTTTCCCCAGTGTCTTTACTACCTGCCCCAAGCGGGAGTCCAAGAGTGGGGCCCTTAAACAGAGCAGCGATCTCTCCCCATTCAAAGTTCCTGATGTGAGCATCATCTGGGGAGAAGAAGATAAATACTTGGACAGAAAGAAAGGCAAAGAAGAAGGAGGGCAAGAAGACCGAGATATAGACCAAAAAGACAGAACCGAGAACGGAGACAAATCTGCCTTAAATAAACCGTGTAGTGAGACTGAAGTCGAACAATTTAAATTTTTAAAGCAGGGCCATCTTGTTAATTCCTTGGAGGCATCCGTGAATTTCAGCAATGACAGCTCCTTCATTGAAGTCTCATATGATGCCATGGGGGAGGTCAAAGACTGTAACCGCTATATGGCACGGGACACTAATTCGGGTAGCTCCTCCTCCCAGCAGAACTATGGCCTGCGAGCCAAGAGAAAAGTCAGATACAGTGAAGATTACCTATATGATGTTGACTCACTAGAGGGTGAAAAAATAAATGAGAGGAAAGAATGGCTGCCAGATGGTTCTAAAGAGGAAGATGATGATGAATGGTGTCCCAAAAAGAGAAGAAAAGTCGCACGTAAAGAGCCCCCTGTTATTATCAAATACATCATCATCAATCGCTTTAAAGGGGAGAAGAACATGCTGGTGAAATTGGGGAAAGTGGATGCCACTGAGACAACAGTGAATTTGAGTGAGAATCAGCTCAACAAATATGCCAAGCTGGCCCCCTTAAAGGGCTTCTGGCAGAAGAAGAAGAAGCAGAGAAACAGTAGCACCGACTCAATCAAGATATCTTTATGCCAAAAGCAAAGCTTTGAGCCAGGTAGCTTTGAGGTGTCGTTCCTATCACCGGCTCGCAAACGAAAATCTAAATATGGCAACAGGCACAGGATTCAAAGAATCCCATCCATAGAAGCTTCGGCAAGCAGTAAACCGGTTTCATTCGGCACTGATCAGAAGCAAGCAAATCGCAAAGAAGATGGATACCTGAAAGGTGCACTGAAGCCCGCAGCTCTGATTACAAGCTGCTCAAAGGGATTACATTTCAGCGAAATGGCAGGCTCTGACTCAGTGAAAGTCAAAGCTCAAGACACAGAATTTAAGGGACCAGAAAGGAAAGTACTCAACAAAATCAAATTTAAGAGTGAAGCTAGGTTAAAATCCAAGAAAATCAAAGCCGGGCCAGAAAGCAAGCCAGTTGCTGAAATGAGCCCTCTCTTGGAAGAGCTATCCTCTAAGGTCATTGTAAAGAATGAAGCGGTTCCTGGGACCTCAAACAGTTCCCACGTCTCTGAAATTCGTGAGGCAAAGGTGGCTAAGAATTCCACATTCCTACCAGCCACCTGCCCCTCAGAAATGCCTCTGTCATCGGCTAATGTTGCTACAAATATACCTGTTATCCCTGGAGGCTATCTGCAGACATTGTTAGATGCTTCCGACTTGACGAATAATACCAGCATCTCATACTTCACCCAGGAGTCTTCAGAGCAGACTGACGGCAGTCTCATCGAAGCAGAAAAGGCGTTTGTACCGCTCCAGCCTTCCCAGGATTGTGTGCTTTCCTCCCCCTCGGAGTCTGAGCTGCAGCAGTCACCCCATAACTTGAAAATAGAATCAACCAATTATGGGAACGTGTGGCCAAAAAAGACTATTTCTGGCCCCCAGGAATTCATGGTTAAAGCCTCAAGAGAGATAGTCTCGACCCAATCCAATGAATTTGAAGTGTCCCAAATGGTGTCTATAGAAAATAGCCTCATAGCTACAACATACAATCCAATCTACGTCAACAGTGGTGGCAATAGTTGCCACAAGGTCCTGTGTGCCTCCCTGCAGGACTCCCAGCTCCCGGCTGATGGCTCTTATCAGTTATGTCACTTTAGTAATGGAGAGATCTGCTTTCCTTTCCAGCAGGGTCCGGTCAACATGGATGATAGTCGGCTCTTTAGCTTTGATTCAATGACCTCACTGTCTGTAAGCTCAAGCAATTATTGCTCCTTAAACTTGACTTCCTGTGAAAAGGATGCTGATGCTGATATCACTGATGACTTCTTGGCCCATTGCAGCCCTAAGCTCGTGATCCAACAGAGCATTGGTGAGATAACCCCACTAAAAGAATCCACTGACCTCCTAGATATCTCCAATTTCACTCCTGACAAATTCCGCCACTCTTCCCTTTCAGAGTTGTCCCCACCTGACACCCCTAGCCTCTCCCCTCAAATTACCAGGTGTGAGAATATCAAAACGCTTGAAACGCTGAAGGAGCTCCAAGAGGACACCCCAGGACCACTAGACAATATGGATAAAATCAAGTGGGACTGCAATACCCTTTCACAGCAGGTTCAAGTGGATGACGGATTTACTTTAAATAACCATCAGTTTCAGTTCCATATGTTCAACGATGAAGATTCTGCTAGCCTGCTCCAAAAAAACCCTTGCCTGTCAACATTGAATGAGCCATCTGGTCAAATTAACACCAATAACAAAGTGTCAAAATCAAGAAAGAAAAGTTCACCCAGCAAGAGTGGGGCTGTGAACCAAAGCTCTTCTCAGAAAAACGCCAGGAAAAAATCCCCCAAATCCAGCAACAAAGGAATTGAAAAGCCACCTGGCAAATCCTCCCGCCAGGTCCCTAAGTCAACAAAGAAAGGAAAATACATGGCTGCAATCAATGGAGAGAAAATGCAAATCGGCACTAGTCATGGGGGAGGCCAAATCAATGGCATGGCCTCTAGTGGGAAGACATTGGTTGAGCGTATCCAACATGGGGGTCCTATGGCCTCTATAAAAATGCCAAGTCAGAAGGGACTTTCTGGAGATTGGGCTTTGGGAAAAGAGAGCAGGTCAGGTTGGAGTGACTTGAGTGTGGGCACTGGCACCAACAGCCTCCTGGATGATGACCAACGAGAATTCCAAGAGCCTTCCTATATCTTGTCCAACATTGCCTCTGGGATGGCAGATGTACAGAGATTCATGATGGCCTCCATAGAGCCCCTTTGGGAGCCCACAGAGCACCACGGGGACCCCAACATATTCTACTCCCCTGAGTCTAATACTCTAAAATTAAAAACCCTCAAAATATTGGCCGGGACACCACAAGAGTCTAAGAAAAAGGTCACCAGTGGGGCCCCAGGAGCCACTAAAACCCACAGGTCAATCAAAGGGATGAGCAAAAGCCATGGGAAAGCACCACTAGGTCATCCTGGCTGTGCAAACATACCTGGTTATAACGAGGAGTCTCGCTCCACCTTCTTTGATAAAAAGTACAATAACATGAGCACTTTAGGCAGTAACGGACCAACACACAAAAAATTATATCGTCACAAATCCAGCTCCAAGGCCCTGAGAGATGAAAAATGTAAGGGCAAGAGCATGGAGCGAGAACAGGTCCACAAGGATGAGGCTGGGACAGCTGCTTTGGAGAAACGGAGGTAATACTTCACCAAAATGGCTGAGATGATGTACCGGTAGCTTTCTTACTACCTGCTGGGCCCTCCTGCAGTCCCTCGTTTTTCCTTCTTGAAAGCAAAAGTTTGCATGAAAGAAACTATCCCATTCCCTTCTTTTTCAAAAGAAAAAAAGTGCATGACAGTCCGATATGTTTAAGCCACTCC